CACCATTAGGCATAAAATTCTGTTGCAAATTCTCTTACCAACAAGATTTCCTTTAGCTGAATTTCTCTTCATCTAAGTCACAGATGAGTGGGAGCAGAATGTGACCACAGACTTAAAATATCTTTCTCATTGTCACCTGCAATATTACCATAATTGGAGCTAAGGAATCTGAAGTTGCACAGTATTTATGTTGCAATTCAAACTGACACAGCCTGGAATGCTTTGGTAGCAAAACAAGACACAGACCCAAGTTCGTGCTGCATGCTTGGGAGGGGGTGAGCTGCTCCTCTTGGAGACCTCCTTCCATGGGGAGGTCCTCTGGATCCCCTTCTTCACTGTGAGCTGGGGGGGACCTTCCTGGTGGCAAGGTGAGTGCTCAGAGCCTACCTCATGGTGCGCATAGGTGATGGTTTGGGTCAGGCTGCGAGGACGGCTGCTTTGCTAAGCCGGGGGGCTGTGGTAAGAGATTGCAGCTTCTTTGAGGCTTGCTGATTGGGATGGGCTCTTTCTCCTTTTCTTTTTACTCCCGACACTTAGGGGGGCCCTTTGTTGGGAGGAGTTGTTTGGAAGAAACATTTCTAGTGTGTTTACTTTCTTCTGACAGATGGAAATAGTGAGTCACCATCCAGTGTCACTTCTACTGCTCAGATCGCTGTAGGCACAGTGAAAAAATGTTTTGCTGTGCTGCTGCTCAGGTAGGCTCTGCAACAGCTGATGAACCTGACCTATTACTCCTGGCATTCACTGGCAAACTCAGTACAGTATATTTGCCTGTGACTGACATGCTTAGATCTATGGCCACAAGATAACTGGCCAGCTCCTCCAGCCTTTACCTTTAGCATTGGCTTTAACCCCTCAGGGCTCAGCTGCTTGCGACATTTAAAGCATGGCAAGGAGGTTTATAGCAGAGATTTGACTCAGCAAGACTTGTGCTAACTCTTGCTGAAGATATGAAATACAATTTGTAGCTTATAATTGCTGCCTAATATGATCTTAGACCCTTACTTAAAATCCATTTAACTGATACTGTACTTTCTTTATAAGGTTATTATTGGGAGCTGACCTTTTCTTGTGTTGTGGTTAAATGTACAATGTAATAGGGGTGTTTTTTAATGTGTTTAAGAGTTGGAAGATGTGTTAGAGGTAACCTTTATGTGGAGAGTTTTATATAGTTGTAGTAAGGAGACTGATATTAAAATCCTGCACGGTAGTACCATCTGAATGTAATTTGTTCTTATTGTGTTTTGTGTGTGCCTGATAGGGGAAGATGGTACAATATATTAAAGAAATCTGTTTTGTCCTCCAGTATCTTTCTTAGTGATAATTATTAACCTAGTGCAAATTACTGTCTCCAGAAAGTTTTTGTACTTTGATGCATACAAAAATACAAAAAGCATATTGGATACAATAGATAAATCACAATTCTTCCCTTACAGTTCAAGGAGAGCAACCTAAACTCAAGAGTTTAGGCACAGGGATCACTAGTTTATAATGGATTTAAAGATTAATTTTTCTCAATGACAAATGTTTGCTTATATCTATGGGTATTAGTTCATCTGCTTTGGATTGCATTATAGAAATGTAGGTGTGTTTGGAGTTGTAGTTGAAGTATTTCTGTTGATGTGATTGTTCCTTTTTAACCACCTATCTAAGTATATGTGTAGAATTTGGTGTCGATGGAAAGGATTTCAGAACTTGTCTCCCTGCACCCTTCTCAAAAATGCTTTAAACAGTGGTGAAGGCAGTAGAGGTTGATACCAGAAAATAGTTCAGGATTTAAAAAACCCAAACCCAACAGACTGCTTAAGCAGAGAAAGGTAAGATATGTTGCAAGTATGAACAGCCCTTGCTGGGATTTGCATTTTCTTTTCCCACTGTTAGTGTAGAAAGCGCCTTTCCCACTGTTCAGCCCGTTTATTTTTCTTTTTTCCTGTTTTATTTTTCTCTTTCATTGCCCTTCCCGCTTGCCTCAAGGGGGCATTGTGGGTTGGAGAGGGGGAGCAGGTTTTGCCACATGTCAGGCTATTTGCCTATAACTGAAAAATTCTTGTTTTTTGCGTTCTGTAAAGTGCTGTCAAGGGTGAACACATCAGTAGGGAGGTAGTGGGCAAGAATGGCCTTAAGAGAAACAAACATTATTTTTTATCTTAAGTAGGTGGGGAAGGGGGCAGCAGTCACTGCTCAAGAGGTTGAAATTAACTGTTTTTAACACTGTGAAGAATGATGATGATGTAGACAAAGTTCCATCCTAAAATTTATAATTCTTGGCTCAGATGTAAACTTCTTGTGTAACTTTATGATAGAGTTGCTTAATCTCAGTGCAGTAAAGATAAATTCATTAATGGTTATGAGGTGTTGATATAATTAAATAGAGAATGCCAGTAAATTGCTTTCTGAAGCTCAATGACTGTAAACTCTGATCTTCTAATTTAATCTATCTGCCGCTTCCCATTCACTTGCTGAAAGGCTTTGAAGGCTGAGAAATTAGCCCTACTCCAGGCACAGTAGCTGTGAGAACTAAACTGAGGTAAACCGAGTTCTCTAAAGGGAAATCCATGGATGAGGACTGGAAGTCATTCCTCAGTGTAAGTTAAGACTGGATGGACAAAGTAGAGCAGAAGCAGGTTGTACAGTGCCTGTCATTTTCAGAGATTTCTGTTTCTCACTGCCTGCCTGGATTTGTACCAGTTTGTAGTAGCCCTGACACATAGAGGAAAAATTAAGAAGATAATGACACAATAAAAGAGATACTGTCTAAATGAGAAGAATTAGTTAAGTCCATGTCTTTTGGTGGTGTTGCAGTATTGCTCACATCTAGCTTTTTGGTTGGTCTAAACAAAAGTTATCATTCTCTCAGTAGACAGTGCATTTTCTTTGTGAATTATATGTGTGCAGAAATTATTTCTGTGAGAAATCAGATACCTCTGAAATCAGCCTTGCTCACAAAGGGTAGTTTAACTGCATGAGGAAAGCGTTCACTTTATACTTTTAGCCTGAGCTCTTAAGGATAGAAATATATGGGAAAATGCATTCTCTAGGAAAATGCCAGTGATTTTTCTTGGTGGGTTGTTTTCTTTGTGTAGGGTGTTCCTCATCTAGCACACTGTTTTCTGTTAGTTTGCTTAATACTGTATCAAGTTATACCTGTAGTCTCACCCTTTGAGCTCTAAAATGGAGTTGAGTCATGATGGCGGTGGGCAGGAAATACAGCAGCACAGTTGGATCTGGCAGAGGTGTTGGATTCAGTCTCTTAATCTCTGGTGTTTTACACACTTTATATGGGGACTTAAGTGTGCTGTGAAAGAGATCTCTTGAGGGAGGACTAGAACCTGTGCATGTCCTCTGTGTCAGTGCATATAACTGGTGAGGTCCATCCTCGATAGACTCCTGATGCACAGGCATTTTTATGCTTCCCTCACCTTGGCCCAGGAGCAGCTGCAGTCTTCCTCCCTGGTCTCTCCATCAGCCTGGTGGTTAGGGGACTCTCCTGGGATAAGTGTACGGAGATTACCTCTTCTCAGATTTAGGTACTCGCTGACTCAGGCTGGATTGCTTCTCAGCGTGACCAAAACCTTTGATCAGTGACCACATCTTGCAGCTTGGGGTTGGAGTCTGTCTGGTTCACTCCTTGAACTGAGAAGTACAGGACTGCAGATGGCTGCAGACCACATGGTTCACAATGGGGATGAAGATGTTTGTCCTGCACCTAAACCAAGACTGTGATTCCGGTGCCTCATTTGCAACAGCATTTGCCATGCATTTGCTCATCTCCACCAGGACAGCCCAGTTCAGTAAGATCATTGGGAAATAAGGAGTGTTAATGGAAAATGCAGGTGAAAACTAATAAGCACCTTACATTGACAGACTTCAGTGTTTCTTTTGGCCAACTCATTAGACACGTATTTCAGAAGCCTAGTAGATTAGCTGAAGGGACGTAAAGCCAACAGTATAAACCAGATGCTTTGGGTTTTGCTGCAAATTAGTTCTTGGTCTTGTGCTTTGTGCAGTCTCCAAGGTACTGAGTAAGCCTCTTCCTCCTCTGTTTTGGGTTACTGTTTTGGGTTTTATTTCAAGGTGAAAATGCCATGCATATCTGGGGAGGGGGAGGAGAGAGAGAAAAAGGTGATTGATGATGTTGATTTGGAAAACAATTCCTGTTGAATTAGCCCCCGCATCATTGGTTTGCTTCAGTTACAGAAAGAATGGGAATGGTTTCCTGAAAAACCTGCTGTGAGAGACCTGTCTTCAGTTATAGCAATATAACATTGAAGGCAGTGCTTCTTCGGCAACTGTAAACTTCGCTGAAGGCATGCATTTTTGTTGTTGGTGGAAAGAAGATAAAAAAATACTCTAGCAACATGAATATATATAGTGAGTAACTGCATGAGCAGTGTTTCTGTCTTTGGGTTGCGATTTTAACAGTTTGAAGTCTCTTAAAATTCAGTATACTTGAAATAAAAAAGCTGTTTCTGTGACTGTTTGCAAAGTTTTAATTTGTTTTAAGCCCTGTTGTTGATCTAGAGCTTTTGCTCGTTTAAGGTTGATTAATTGCTTTTGCCACTTTTGTTTGCAGTTCAGTATAATCTTATGTAGACTATTGTTATTTTTTTTTAGTTTAATCTTCTTTTGATGGTTGTATGTTTGTATGGGATGTTAAATTTGACCACTAATAACTTAAGGATTTAAATAAACAAATAAATAAGAGTCTAAACAATAACAAAAGGCTGCAAACTGAAACAAATGCTAAGCACTGCAAATTTATTTTGTGAAGCATAATTTCTGCACCTGCTCCAGACTCCATTGTGAAAGCTCTTGCTTTTATATGGTTTTATTTATTTCAAAAGAGAAAAAGATCATCCTGTTTTCATTCAGGTATCTAGGCAGATTTAATAGAAACAAGAATAATAGGCCTATCTCTTACATAGAATATTGTTAAAATGCATATGCCTTCCCTGATAATTGCTGTTCATTAAGGCTTAGTACTCTCTCTTTAAGAATTAACTCTCTGTTATCTTAACTGCAAAAATGGATGCGTGAATGTTTGCACTAAGTTCGCTTCCTACAAAATGTAAAATACAGTTCAGATATGTCGTCTAGGACACCTGTGGCCCATCTGCTTTACTTCACTGCCTTTCAGAAAACACACACCACACTCGATGCTTGGGTAAGTTGCATTGATACAGTGTGACCTGCACGACAGAGGGTTAGTCTCTTAATGAGAACTGACTTTGTTAACTTGGCCCAAGTAGAAGCTCATGATTTCCATGCACAGGATGGAACCAAGTCATGGCTGAGGGTGCAAAGGAAGATGCTGTTCCTGTTCGTCTTTGGAAGTGCTTGACTGTGCAGCATTTGGAAAGTAGAAACTAGGAATCCTGATAGCCTGTGTTTTTCTACTGTCTCAAATATCTGTGCAGTTGACAAAAAAGCTGTCTTGTCACTGTGTATGGATTGTCCTTGCAAAGGAAAGCACCTAATCAACCTCCTGGACTTGGCAGTATACTAATTTTCACGTACATACATAATGGGCAGAGAGAAAGTGTTCTGAAACCTTAAGACACGGGGCAGATGGAAAATATGTTCAAATTCAAACAAACAAACAAAAACCCAGAAGACCGAAATACAGAGCTGCTGATAATGAGAGGATGAAGAGAAGGGGGGAACTTCTGTTGTTCTCCATTTTTTAAGGAGACCAGTTACGGTTTTAGAACTTCTGGGATTACGATGCATTTTCTTTGTTATAGAACTGTCAGAAAACACAAAGGTTATATCTGTGCAGACAGCTTAACTTGCTTCTAGCTCTTCAAAGTAATTTAACTCATTTCATGTTCAGCTGTAAAAATCTGTAGGTCTTAGAAAAACTAGAGCATCAGAGCTGTAGCTGTAGCTCTCTTGCATCACCAGGACAGGACTTCTGGACGACAGCCGTGTCAGGGCACATGATGCCCTTCACAGTGGCAGTGCCTTGTGAGGGCCGAGGCAAGCTTGCCCCTGTAATCATGCTGTGAGATGCTTGCTTCTGGAAGCCAGAATTTGGGTCAAAGAAACCTGCCTCTGCTGTAATCCTTTCTAATCTTTGCTTTTGGGAGTTTTCAGGAGCACTGCTATTGCTGGGGAGTGTAGCTATGAAATTTTTCTGTTTGCTTTCTTGTACTTTCTTGGTTTTCTTTCTTCATGTGCTTATTTAAAATGGATCCTGACAGTGGAGGAGATGATTCTGGAAAAGGAGTATGTCATCAAAGGAGAGTCCTAAAACTTTTACCTAACTAGAGGTATACTGCAGAGTGAAGAAGCTGCATAAAATACCGTAGTAGTACAAGAAACCGTTACATTTTTACTGAAATCATTGTAAAGTGGAAAGTGCTTCGTGTCAGCTGAAATGTCAGATGTATCAGGAAAAAGTTAAAGTGGAACCTGATTTCTGTAAGGCTAAAGATTCAAGTAATTTGCTTAGGGATGCAGTAGAAAATCAATCTTATGCTTGAAAGAGGGAATAGTAGCCTTCAAGTCTCATCTCATGTTTTGTAGTTGATTGCCTGTTTTTATTATCTCCCCCCCCTCTTTTCCTTCAGTACTTACTAATGCCCTTTGGTTAACTCCATTATACCTTTGAAAAACTTCTTGCAGAGCTCAGCTGCTTTGGCTTGTTTGCTGTGTAAGCCTCACTGATATTATTATAATTAACAGGATGTGTAAAAAACTTCCTGAACCCAATGTTACAGAATCAGGCTATTAAAACTTGGTGCCCCATATGTTCTGCAGTGTGCAAGATTTCCATCCTCCGCAGCTGGGGCTCATCAGAGTTGATGCTAGACCTGCATTGATCTTGCATGCTGTGTGGGAAGTTGGTTTGGTAGGAACAGCATTCAGCTTGTAAAAGAGGAAGAGGGATGGAAAATAAAGTCCGTTTACAGTTTGGAGGTGTGTCTCTAATTTGCTTTTTTTGATTTTTTTTTTATACCATGGGGATAAAAATGTGAGAGAAGGATGTGCTGTATTTTTAGATACTGAAAATCTTTGAAGATCTGATTCATAAGTGAGAGTTGAAACTCTTTCTCACGATTCCGTGTTACATGATAACAGTTTTCTTGCTCGGGCTTTTGCATTTGTTGAGAGGTACTGCTTCATTTCCTCCAGCAGCTTTGCTTTTAGGATTATTTTTTTTCATTGCAAGAAAGTAATACAGGATAATAAGAGGCAAAGAGAACAGTCTGATATTTTTGAAGGATTTCTTTATTTTTTGTGCTGACTTGGAAGGGTCCTGAATGTAACTTGCTAGTTCTGTGAAAGTAAAATGTGAAGCTGATCAAAAATTGAAAAAAGCGGAGAGGAAATAAGTCTACTGATAAAACACAAAGCAAGTACATAGTTAAGAAGTCAGGAAATGGTACTGACCAAATAATGTATTTAAATACAAAAAAAAAATATACAAGGGCATACATCTAGGAACATTATGCTGGTTTTGCTTTCAGTATTGGGGTCTATATCCAGAGTGTAAAGTCGTGACTTTGAAAAGGCGTCTGTATTTTTGCTGGCTAATCACATGAATACAGACATTTTATATTTAAACTGTGACTTTATACCCTTGGGTGTATAAAGATGTATTTATATATAGAAATATACTTTATATAGGAGTAACAAGCCTAGATATTTCTGTCTCAATTAATTCCTTCTTTTTTTTGGTGTCGACATTGTTTTTTGATAGTTTCTTGAAAAGCAATATGGAGAAGAGACATGAGAAGAGGAGAAACTTTATAATAGAGGATTATCAGTCCACCTTATGAGGGTATAATAAAGTGCACTAGAACAGCCATTTTAAACACTGAGAGAAGTTACTTCTAAGACATTATTAAGGACTTCAAAGTAGATTTCACTGGGAATCTTCAGGTTGAGAGTTAAGGCCTTTTCTAACACATGCTTAAATTTGGTGAAGGAATTATACCATCAGTACCTTACAATCAGGAAATGTATCAGTGTTGTCTTGATCACTGGTTTTTCTTTCAAAAGAAGCAGGAGAGTGCTTAGTGTGCTTATTGTTGTATCAATATTCATTAACTCCATGTCTGTCCTTTGTCAGTATTTTAGAGTTCTGGGCTGGGACTGGAAGGCCCCTGCTAGCTGCTGTGCAAACTCAGAACCACTGTTAGTCCCAACCCAGAAGTAGGACAATTTAAACACATGGGTAGAGGCAACTGCTAGAAACAGACAAGGAAAGTTAGGAAAACAAGGAGTTAGCATAGCATATCAGCAAATAATCTGTTTTAAAATTTTCCATAGGTCTCCTGACAAAGCAGTTTAAAAGAGGTAGTCTTGTGGACGTTCACAGATGTGTGAGGTGTCAGCCTGGATAAAAAGCCTGAAGACACTTAATTGAAAAAATAACACATAGATGATGGAAGCTGGCAGCCTGGACCTAAAGGAGAAGGGAGTTTACTTCTAGATATGGAATGAGAGATGATAGGTTGGCTTTGACGTGGAAGATAGGTGATTAATATATAATGGGATATGGGATTTATGTCAGTGGAATGCGATTGCATTTGTCAAGAATAGAACAAAAGATAGGAACAAGATGTGAAATAAGAGCGATGGAAGTAAAAAAGGTGTACAGTTTGAGAGAAGACACATACTTAATGATCCTACAGTGTTCACATGCGAAACTATTGTGAAAATGTGAATCTGTGGGACCTAGGTGCTTGTGTCTGAAGACTGAGAGAGATGTGTAAGTAAGTCAAAGAGGATGCCCAAATTATTTGCCTAAATGAATGGTAATGTTGCCCAAGAAAGGAGGCAAGGGGAAAGCCTTATTAGCTCTGTAAAGAAGACTGTTATACACTCTCTGCCTTCTAACTGTACAGAATTGTGGTCTAGCTCACAGCAGCGGAGTGCTGTTAGTGCCAGGAGGAAAAAGACCTGCTCCAGGTGAGTGGCAGTCTGGTGCGGTCCAGCATTTTTGTGAAGTCCTACTTTATCAATTCTCTTGTGGAAGAGGAGCTTTCATAAAGTTCCTTGAATATTATTGTTCTTAGTAGCTTCTGTATTGCTCTTCAGTGTCAGCATTCGCAGCTTGAGGTTATGATTAAAGTGCATCACACCGTTGGTGAAATACTACAGAAAATATTATTAATACATATTTCTATGTATTAGTGCATGGTGACATGCATAAGTATTTAGCAATGACTTGACTGCGTTGCTCACCAGTGGTGAAACCATGGGCTGTGAGGGTTGAATGCCAGTAGAATCTCTGTCATGTACACTGTTTATTTTACATATGTAGGGTACATTTCCACCTACTAGAAAAGCTGTTTTGGAAATGCTTAGACAAATCATCTCTTTCCATATGTAGTTTCAAGGTATTTCATTTGCTCATTTATAGAGGGATTGAGGAGACAAGATCGCTGTGGAGTTTCTACTTTTGACCTCCTCCCTCATCTCTCTGTGGACATACTGGAACAGTCAGTGCTGGTCCAGTTCTGGGATCTGGGGGGAGACCACGGGACCCTCATGTTGCTGTGGTCATCTGTTTTTTTTTCAAATGCAGAATGGTGGAGTAGTGTAAAGTGAGGTGGGCCCAAGACACTGTGAGGTTTCATTATTTTTGGTTGAGACTGCTGCTAGAATAGAGCAAATATTTCACTGAAGTTTGAAAGTGATTTGATGTCTTTCTAATTTGGTCTGTTGTATATTTAGTAAAAAAAGTTTTCAGCTTTCTTTTGACGAGTTTCTCTGCAGTGTGTTTCCTTCTGAGCTGTATTAGAAGAATCTGAAAAGTTGAACTTTTCTCATTTGCTTGCAAACTTCTGGCTACATGTGCCCTCTGAGACCCCACCAGAGACAGCTAGGTGCATTGCTGTGGGATTCCTGAGAGCGGATTCCTGCTAACCCAAGTGAGAGCGTTGCTGTGCTCACTCAGGACTGCGTGATTACCTCCCCCCTGCCCATTGTCCTTCTTTCAAGTTCTAAAAATGGTTCATCAGATTTATCACTGCTTTTTAAGAAAGTCTTCATGAGCATGACCTGAGGTTTTACAGGAAATCTTGAAATAAAAGTAATAAGATTGTTATACATTCTCTCACATTCAGCCACACATGCTATCACAAAAGTAGCCTTGAAGCTGTTTTAGTTTTACAGCAAGAGTGTTTCTTTTCATATCAGGTAATCCGATCTGCTGGGGCTTTTTCCCCCCTTGGCTTTGAAAACATGCCTTTATATTAATAATCCAGGGTTTTTTTGCTGAAAGTTGATTGCTCTAATTGCTGATTGGTATTTGGTAACGCTAAATAAAAGCAAAAAATTTCATCTTTTTCATTTTTGTACTCTGGAATCTTAAAAATGTGTACTCTCAGAGTTCACCATTAGTGGATGTATAATCTTTGTGTCTGCTTTTATTCTTGGCCACTGGGAGTTTTGCTATCAGCAATAAAAGGCAACCTCCATGTTGTACTGCACAGTATAGATATTGTAAATTTGGTCTTGGTTTCCATTGATCTGGTTTGCCATATGGGAATCATATTCAGCTGATCTTTATTTCCTGAGTCAGAAATTCTGTTTTACCCATCTTTGGGGCTTTCAGCATTTATTCTCAGTGGGCTGTCAGGTATTGCACATGAAAGCGAAGGTTCAAAGGCATATAAAGAAGGTTGAGGTCTGAAATGTTTACTTAACACTGTCTTTTTTTTTTCCCTTTTCTTTTTACAAACATTTGGCAGACTGGAGGATCAGCATGAAACCTTCATCAATTTTAGACTTTTTATATTCTATTATTTTAAACATTTTACACATACATAATTTTGGTGTAGCCTGGAATGCATCAGCTGTAAACTTGCTCGTGTATGTGTGCCAGCGACAGTATTAAGAGCATTGCAGTTAGGTGTTTATCAATTATTTTTCTCAAAGGTTTATGTCCTTCTAATTCTGTTTTTGTTTCTGAAGCTGGCTCTAACAGACTGCCATTATGCTACAAAGAAAACTTGTAGCTTTTAATTAATATGACAATTAAAAGAAATAAAGATACCACCCTCTTTCTTTGCTCTGCCATTCCACTGAGAGAAATTAAAGTGAGAATGAGCTTGTTGTTGCTCACCTGAGAAGATGTTGCCACCAGTAAAGTAAGCAGGCATAATCTTAACAATTTTTGTGCCTTAAGTATTTAATCTCTTGGCAAAAAAAAAAAAGCCTGAAATTTGACAGACTTGAATCACTTCATGGCCGTGATATAGAGGCTGTAGATTCTGTTAGTATATTTTGATTTTTTTCCTTTCTCATTTATACTGAAGTGTATTAAAGACTTAGCATACTGCAGTGTGTCTGATATACAACTTCCATCTTCAGTATATCTTACTTTGCTTTTTAATACAAATCAAGGAAAAAAAATCAGGGATCTGGATACCCAGTAATGGGATTTGTTCTCTCTTCTGGCTCCTTCATTGCCAAAAGGATGTAGAGCACTAGGATTGGCTCAGAGTGTCTAGAAAAGATGTGGTTTTGATCATAAGATCATATTTTGTTGTTGAAGAACTGTTAACAGGTGAGAAAAGGCAATCAAAGAGGGAAGGGAAGGTGGGGGATTCCCCCATAGCTACTTCACCTTTTGCCCAGGGCTCGCCAGGAATAAAGCTGTCAGGGAACTCTGCTCTCTCATAAAGAGTCAAGGGAACCATGATCTTACTGGTATCACAGAGACATAGAGGGATAGCTCCTAAGACTGAAGTGATGGAATGGAAGAATTCCAGGCTCTTTAGGAATGACAGGCAGGGAAGAGGAGGAGGGAGTGTCACCCTGTATGTCGTTGACCAGATGTGGTGCATGGAGCACTGCCTGGGGATGGATGAGTTGCTGATCGAGAGTTTATAGATCAGGATTAAAGGGTGGGCAGGGACAGGTGACATACTGGGTGTCTGCTACAGGCTGCCCGATCAAGAAGATCGACAGATGAGGCCCTCTATAGACAGATAGGAGCAGCTTCACATTCACAAGCCTGGGTCCTCATGGGGGATTTCAACAGTCCTGTTATCTGTTGGAAGGACAACACAGAAGGAACAATCCAGGAGGTTTCTGGAATGTGTTGATGATAACTTCCTTCTCCAAGTGATAGAGGATCCAACAAGAAGAGATTGTATCTTGGATCTTGTTCTCACCAACAAGTAGGAGCTGGTGGGGAATGGGAAGGTTGAGGAGAACCTCAGCTGCAGTGACCATGAAATGGTGGAATTCAAGATCTTTTGGGTGCAAAAGTATTTCACACTGTCCTGTATGACATCTTTATCTCTAAACTGGAAGGGTATGGGTTTGATGGATGGACCACTTGGTGGATAAGGAATTAGTTGGATGGTCACACCCAAAGAGTTGCAGTCAACAGCTTGATGTCCAAGTAGAGACCAGTGACAAGTGGTGTTCCTCAGAGGCTGGTATCGGGGAATACCAAAGTTCTGTTTGACATCTTTGTTGACAGCATGGGCAGTGGGATGGAGTGCACCCTCAGAAGGGTTGCTGATGACACCAAGCTGTGCGATGTTGTCAACATGCTGGGGGGAAGAGACGTCATCCAGAAGCACCTTTGCAGGCTCAAGAGATGGGCCAGGGCAAACCTCATGAAGTTCAACAGGGCCAAGTGCAAGGTCCTACACCTGGGGCAGGGCAATCCTAAGTGGAAACAGAGGCTGAGCAGAGAACGGATTGAGGGAAGCCCTGAGGAGAAAGTCTTGCTGGTTTTGATTGATGAGAAGCTCAACAGGACCCATCAGTGTGTGCTTACAGCACAGAAACCCACTGTATGCTGGGTTGCATCAATAGGAGCGTGACCAGCAGGTCAAGGGAGGTGATTCTCCCCCTCTGCTCCACTCTTGTGAGAGCCCACCTGGAGTATTGTGATCAGCTCAGGGCCCCCAGCACAAGAGGGACATAGACCTCTTAGAGCTGGCCTAGAGGAGGGCCATGAAGGTGAGAGGGCTGAAGCCTCTGTCGTGTGAAGATGGGTTGAGGTAGTTGGGTTCTTTATAGCTTGGAGAAGACTAAGGGGACATCTTCAGCAGCCTTCCGATACTTGAAGGGTGACCTGCAAGAAAGCTGGAGAAGTACTTTCTTTTACAAGGGCCATGTAGTGATAGGACAAGGGGTAATGGCTTTAAACTGAAAGAGGGTAGATTGAGCTTAGGTAGAAGGAAT